TGCTATTTACCCATAGCTGGGGGAGGGGAAGAAGAGGATAATAATTTTCCCAAGGCTATTAGCCCGTAAATGGATGTAATTCAAACTCAGCTCTCCGATTCCTTAATCCGAGCCGCTATCCATATATGTATGTATGTATTTATGTATGTATGGGAGGATAGATAGATACATAGATATGATAACCGAAATAGATAGATAGATAGATGTGAATGATCTGAGATAGATAGATAGATAGATAGATAGATAGATAGAAAATATGAAAATACCGAGAAAGAAAGAAAGAAGGAAAGAAAGAAATAAGAAAAGAAAGAATGAAAAAAGAAAGATATGAAAATAGCGATATAGATAGATAGATAGAGAGATAGATATGAAAATACCGAAAAAGAAAGAAAGAAACAAAGAAAGAAAGAAAGATATGAAAATAGCGATATAGATAGATAGATAGATAGATATGAAAATACCGAAAAAGAAAGAAACAAAGAAAGAAAGAAAGAAAGAAAGATATGAAAATAGCGAGATAGATAGATAGATAGATACATAGATAGATAGATATGAATCATCTGAAATAGATAGGTAGAGAGACAGATACTTATTAAAAACCTGCATTAGATATAGATTGAATTAGATATGATCTGAGTGAATTAGATAATACGCAAGCTAGCGATCTAGCTAGATAGATATATATATATATATATATATATATATATATATATGTGTGTGTGTGTGTGTGTGTGTGTGTGTGTGTGTGTATTATCATTCGTCCCGCCATAAATAATAAAGATATATTGTTTTCCAAATACACAATTATACACACTGAGGCATATATATATATATATATATATATATATATATATATATATATATATATATATATATATATATATATGTATGTATGTATGTATATATATATATATTAAAATGAAAGCAACTAATATAAGGTATATATCCATATATAAACTCGTTACAAGAGCGCCTCTAAAAATTGACCAACCATTAAAAAAATGCGTGGAGGACTCAGATCTGATAAATGCTTCCTCAGAGAATCAAATATATGCAAAGCTATGATTATCCAAAGTCTCTAGTATAAATGTGACATCCATAGTCTCTAGTATAAATGTGACCAACGTTTACACACATTCACGAATAAACGCGACCTATATTAGTAACAGATATAAACATGAAGCATGTACGTTTTAGGAGAATCCAGAATCATAACAAAGAGTCAAATTAAAAGGAAAGGAAATAATTTTGAAAAAAATCTAAACTTTAAAATCGACGAAATTGTAGCATTTTTAATGGCACTCATCATTGCTAGAGTACTTGGATCAGTCCTTAAATGCTTTGAGTTGGACTTCATTCGGGTGTGTTTTATTAAACAAATTAGATTTTAGATTCAATGTAATTAGATTGCATTAGAGGCTTTTAGTTTCAACTGACTTCATTCGAAAATATCGTCTTCTAATTTCTTTTCATAGGTATGATGCCAAAATAGAATCATTAACAAGCAAAACGTATTAATAAACTTCTAATTCAAATCATTGATGGAAAAGCTTTAACAGTATTTTCGCCATATTAATCGATGCTTATTTTCAAATAAAAATAATAAATAAAAATGCGATTCATACTCAAAATATCATATTTGTGCATTTTATGAAGAAGGTTCTGCGAATGATCGAACCAGTCAAAAGTGGTTCGTAAAGTCTCGCGCTGATGATTTTATACTGAACAGTGTCCACGACAAAGGTATTTCGTGAACATTCAAAGAGCTCTCGTTTGTTTAAGAAATATGCCTTTAAAAAAAACTGTAAACTAATTTTAAATGCAGTTGTGTAAGGTCTATAAATCGTTAAAGAAATGCGCGCGATAGAAAGTCCTGCAATGACAACGGAGATTTCGGCGTAATCCGGATAAATCGGATTATCCGTACGGATTTCAGACAAATGTTCCTGGCTGATTGCACGGTTTTTGTTCGGCTGCAGTCCGAGGCAAGCAATCTCGCTGACAAATATGGCGGCGACAGTTGAGTGTTTGATGCGCCCAGAAAGATCTTGAGTCGGCTGTGCCGGAAGCAGACAGGAGGATTAACAAACAAGACATTGTTGATTGGTTTGATGAAATTAGAAATATATATATATATATATATATATATATATATATATATATATATATATATATATATATAATGTATAAACCACATGAGCTACGATAACTTAAGCGTGAAATGACTTTCACAAAGAAACATAAATCGATAGAAAATCAGGTTTTTATTCAGTGACAGATATTTTCCGGCGAGACACGGGAAACATTTCCAAGTAAACAAGTCGGTAAGCACACATTGCCTTCGACTTACAGATTCCGTACGATAGCCGAACTTAAGCAACATTGTGCCTGTTCAATACCTAAATGGGTGACCGCTTGGGAATAGCTAGGAGGTACAAGTGATGAAATGGATCGTGACAGGTGATCGGAGAAGCGGAGTTTTAATTACGTTTGGGTTTGTTTTATTCACTTACGAGCAAATACCCTTGGAAAAGGTATGAATTCACCTCTTGTACCCCACCTATGGGTTAATTAGTTGCACTTGTACTAGTAAATCATTATTATCTCCCACTACCCCACACCAAATTATTACAATTTAAAATTATTTTTGTTTCGTACTGGACAGTATTTCTCCCAGAAAGTATCTTACATATCTATAAATCTAACATTCGATATGATAGATATATTATATAATATAATATATCTAACATATATTATATATAATATATAATCTATATTATATATATAACCATATATTATATATATTATATATATATATTTATATATATTATATATATATATAATATATATAATATAATATATATTATATTATATGTTATATAATGTATACTATAATATAATATATAATATAATATATATATTCTATTCTATTAGAGATTATAAAATATAATATATATATGATATATATATGTATAATATACATATATATATGTATATATATGGATTATATATATATATCATTTATATATATTATATATATATATTGTATATATATATATTATATATATATATATCATATATATATATAGATATATTATATAAATGGTTATATATATAATATGTATACCATATATATATTATATATATAATTTTTATATATATATATTATATATATTATATATATATAATATATCATATATTATATAATATGTTATATAATATATATTACACAATATATATTATTATATAATATATGATATATATAATATAATATATTATATAATATATGTATAATTTAATATATATTATATGTATATATTATATATATATATATTATATATATATGGGTATATATATATAATATATATGTATTATATAGATATAGATATATATATATATGTATTATATATATATGTATATATATATATGTACGTATGTATATAAAACCATATATTATATATATATATATATATATATAATATATAATCTATATTGGTCCACATCTGGCCCGGTGTTCCTGGTATTTATTTACAGTTTCTTGATAAATCCAAAGAAGAATCAGCAATATTATTGGTCCTGATCTAGTGCATCGGCTTTAGTCAGCTTCGCACTATCAAAAATTTTCTCACTGTGCCATATCTATGAAGACTTTATGGTAATTGTTCGGATGAACTCTTCGCTAGAGATTTTTTTTTAACCGCAGTACTAGACTTACGTCGAGATCCTGTCAGTTTATAGTTGAGGTGGCTAGATGTAACCGTGAATTCTATGCTAACACTTTCTTTTCTCATTTCCAGCCAACTTTAATCTGCCAAAATGTAAATCCTATCTACTGTCTTCCTGATTGCTCTTTCCACTTCCCGCTCATTATTAATTGTGCCTCACTTGCTTTACTGTCTTCCTTTTGACCAAATCTATATATATATATATATATATATATATATATGTGTGTGTGTGTGTGTGTGTGTGTGTGTGTGTGTGGTAATACTCGTTTGAAAAAAACCTCGGTTTGCTCAACTTGTAATATAACAAATTGATTTCGAGGAAAAATTGGAAATAAAAAAAGACACTGTACGAATCCTCTTGTATATATATATATATATATATATATATATATATATATATATATATATATATACACGAGAGGATTTTACGTAATTTTTATAGGTGTAGGTTATTTAAGTATATGCTCTGTTTTTTTAATTAAACATTATTAACAACATTTACCGGCCTGAATGTCCGAGAAATTTTCATAGAATATCCTATACAGAACCGTCATATAGCCTGACGTGCCTTAACCGATTGGGCCACAGAGGATCGTTCGGTTAGCAAGATCAATTTTACCGCTTTTAAACTACAATCTTCCATGATTCTCTCACGTACATTCATATCTGCTCAATGCGTATCCAAATGTAAACAAATGACGGCACACTTTATGAAAGTCCGACAATTATTTATGTTTATTATAAACATAAAATGTCTTAAAATAATACGGATTACCATATTGTATCATTAATACATACATATATATATATATATATATATATATATATATATATATATATATATATTATTTGCACTGGATTTACATTGAGCTCTCTGGATTTTATCCTCCTTGGGTTTACCCATACGGATTACCTAGTTTTTCATAAATATATATATATATATATATATATATATATATATATATACACTCAATACAAAACAGCTCTTATTTAACCCACATGGGATAGATTGCTGGAGAGTAACAGACTGCGCCTTCTTGGCTTCACATTTTAAATTGATTTGAAGCAGAGCGACTATATTCAATCAATAGTTGCATGTACTGCATTGAAATTTAAGTCAATGTGTCGTACAAGAAGATTTTCCTCGTCAGAATCCATCTTGCACATTTGCAAATCTACCATTCGTTTGTGCATACTGTTGCTATATCGCGTCTGGTGCTTCTACTATTCATCTCGAGGTTCTTGACAAAATCCAAAGAAGGATCTGCAATGTAATCGATCCTGACCTAGACGTGGCTTCCCTCTTCCTTTTTCACAAATATTTTTATGACAAACTTTTTTTCCCTTGTGCACGATTACATGAATTTAAGCGTGCTACTAGATTGGCAACTAGGTCCCCCTTTTGACTGTTGGAATAACAAAATCCAATCGCCACTTCTACTCATAGAGTTTCTTCTCTCGGATTTTCCGCCCGTGGAACTCCCTTTCGTTTTCTTGCTTCCCTGTCAACTACAATCTTCAAAAATTTAAATGCGATGTTAATCGCTATCTTTCACCATCTTGAATCGCGTTCATCTGTTGTCCTTTCCTCAAATCTCCCTATAATCAATCTTTTCTCTCACTTTCACACACTGTAAACCCCTGCACACTAGTGGATTTCCCGCCTTGCTTGTGATGAAATATATATATATATATATATATATATATATATATATATATATGCGTGTGTGAAGTGTGTGTGTATGTGTTATTATATGTGTTTTTGTTTGTGTATTTATTATTATATATGTATATCTATATATTCATGTTTGTGTGTTATTATATATATATGTGTA